GACTATAGAAACAATGGGCCAATACAATTGTCTCTTAGATTGCTAGAAACAGTAAACTTATACCTAACACAACTTCATAATCTGATAGTGACTATAGAAACAATGGGCCAATACAATTGTCTCTTAGATTGCTAGAAACAGTAAACTTATACCTAACACAACTTTATAATCTGATAGACTATAGAAAAAATGGGCCAATACAATTGTCTGTTAGATTGCTAGAAACAGTAAACTTATACTTAACACAACTTTATAATCTGATAGAGACTATAGAAACAGACAATGTACTCCAAATATGCATTTGACATTGAAAAATATCTTTATGAAATAAATATCTTTCTATAAATCAGGGCTGCATGATGTCCATCTTTCTGAGCACATGCAGAGGGAGATTTTTATTTCTAGACAATACCAGATTGGTACGGGACAGAATCAGACTCGGAGTCCCTAAACAACTAAGATTGCCTGCAGTCTTACAAAGGGATTGATTATCTGTCATATGGGGCCAATCTCAGTCTTTTTAACCTAGAAGCTTCTTAAAAAAAGTTTGACATTTTGCTCAATTAGGGTGAATTTTGTCTGCATATAACCTCCATTTAGCCTCTGTTGCCTTCACGATTCTGTCACTTTTACATCGGTTGATGGCGGTGTGTGTCTGGCTTTTGAGTGGACGTTGACTGTCCGATCAGGTCATTGTCTGCCCCCTACACCTGTATTACGAGGGCAACATGACAGAATCCCTACCGCGATTAAGTGGTCTGACAAAACCTCCACAGTGCAGGGGGACCTGACAAAATCGCTACAGCCAGGGGAATCTAAAATGTCTACAGCAAGGAGAACCATACAAAATTAGTTCAGCCAGGGGACCCTGACAAAATCTCTCCAGCCAGGGCAACCTGACAGAATCCCTCCTGCGAGTGACCTTACAAATTCTCGAGTGTAGGGGGAGGGACCTTACAGAATCCCTACTGCGAGAGACCTTACAAATTCTCCAGTGTAGGGGGAGGAACATGACAAAATCTCTACAGCCAGGGCAACCTGACAGAACCCCTACTGCGAGTGACCTTACAAATTCTCCAGTGTAGGGGGAGGGACCTGACAGAATCCCTACTGCGAGTGACCTTACAAATTCTCCAGTGTAGGGGGAGGGACCTGACAGAATCCCTACTGCGAGCGACCTTACAAATTCTCCAGTGTAGGGAGAGGGACCTGACAGAATCCCTACTGCGAGCGACCTTACAAATTCTCCAGTGTAGGGGGAGGAACCTGACAAAATCTCTACCGAAACGAGAACCTGATCTACAGCGAGGGGAAACGGGCAAAATCACCACATTGCGGGGAAATATGACATCTGTTTATCTCCTTTAAACAATGAAAACATCAAAACCATCCAAAGTAGTGGCCTTGACCAATATTTCTGTATTTATAACCTGTAAAGCTGTGACCTTGACCTGAGTTTGGTGTTATAATTGCCTTAGTTCTTGTTAATAATATTGACCTTCATTGAACTTTGTAACCTTGAACTGTAACCTAAATATGTGATATCAAATTGACCTTTTCAAGGAAAGACATTGACATAACCTTTTCATTGTAACCAATAACTTATGTACTCGTGACATTGTTCTGTTCCTTGATATCTGTAACGCTGATCTATTTTGAGTAATGACCTTGACCTACGTTACAGGAAAGGTTACTTACCCAGTAAGATGTCGTCCATGGCCCACTGGACCTTGCCTACACGGTTGCCGATAGAGCAGTTGAGCATGGTGCTGCGACCCTCGACGACGCGGGTATCCCCAGGAGTCTCGATAAAGTACTGCTGTCCCACAACTGAAACACAAACATTGTACCGTTAGCCATAAACACAAACATTGTACTGTTAGCCAAAAAAACACAAACATTGTACCGTTAGCCATAAACACAAACATTGTACCGTTAGCCATAAACACAAACATTGTACCGTTAGCCATAAACACAAACATTGTACTGTTAGCCAAAAAAACACAAACATTGTACTGTTAGCCAAAAAAACAAAAAACATTGTACCGTTAGCCATAAACACAAACATTGTACCGTTAGCCATAAACACAAACATTGTACCGTTAGCCAGAAACACAAACATTGTACCGTTAGCCATAAACACAAACATTGTACTGTTAGCCAAAAAAACACAAACATTGTACCGTTAGCCATAAACACAAACATTGTACCGTTAGCCATAAATACAAACATTGTACTGTTAGCCAAAAAAACACAAACATCGTACCGTTAGCCATAAACACAAACATTGTACTGTTAGCCAAAAAAACACAAACATTGCACCGTTAGCCATAAACACAAACATTGTACCGTTAGCCATACAGCAAACATTATACCATAAGCCATACAGCAAACATTGTACCGTTAGCCTTACAGCAAACATTGTACCGTTAGCCATACAGCAAACATTGTACCGTTAGCCATACAGCATATTGTTTTAGTTTTAAAGAAGGATGGTGACTCTGAATTATATCACAGTCTTACTGTTTTATGTGTTCTTTGTTCATATATGTACAAATAACATCAAATGACACATGGACCAACAATAATTTGACTATTTAGGTTGCCCCATCAGGGTTCAAAAGCTTGCAAGTAGTCACTTCACGGCCGGCATGACGCCCAACTCATTGTAAATTGGTTTAAGCATTTGTGGTACAATTTAGCATCTAACCCTCTATGACTTAAATTTCTAAAGATTTTATTGCCTTTATATATGTCAATTGAATTGGACATCAGGCTAGGCCTATTTAAGACCTTTCCAAACTTATTTACAAACGTTACATATATTCTGCCATAACAATCCAATTAAACAGTGCAGGGGAGATAACTCAAATTTAGCTTGTGAAATGAACATTTTTCAATTTTATTCTATCATTTTCTGTTTATGTTTTGGATATTAACAATTAAATAAATCATGTACATTTGTTGACAACCCATCCTACATAAAATCCAAGGGATACAGGCTATCAGTCACCTTTATGAACATTTGATCATTGTGAACCCATCTATGTGATCAGATTTTTCTAATGTTCAGAACTACTGTAAGTGTATATATTTTTTAGCGAGTCGCATTTTAGAGCTATTCGCACCTTAACTCATTCACCCCTGAAGACCTCTTTGAACTTTTCCAAATCGAAAGTTGGAATAGTTCATTATGAAATTTCAGGGATGAATGTGTTGTTCATTGCGCTAAATAATGTTTGTGCCAATTTAAGTTTTTGTTAATTGTTCTTAATTGCATGTTTTATGGGAGCTCCAGTACATCAATGAGCTAATTTATTAAAATTTGAAAATGCGCTAAAATTTGAGTACGTAAGTTTACAGTATTTCCCCCCCATGAAACTGTCAAATGTAGTCTTCTGTTCTGAGGCCACTCAAGAATTCATGCAATCAGGACGAGAGGATTCAAAATTCCTGGTATCACAGATATAAGAATTAGACAACTTAATAGAAAAGTGAAATAAGAAACAAGAAATATCTGAAAGGTTTGGAAGTAAGCAGAATACATGTAAAGACTTGCAATTCCCAAGGGGGAGATTCTGCAAGCTCAAAATTTAAACATATAAAATGAGTGTATATACTCAGAGGCAAAATAACCCTTTAAAATACCTATTTTGAGTTTTTCTTTCAGATGAAATTATAAGACCTTAGAATAAAGGAACAGTTAAGCAAATTCACAGGTTGGAAATACTATATAAGGGTCCAAAATCGGGAGTCTCTCTCCTATATAGGGAGAGTAGGTACGTATGGTAAAGACACAGGTATCGTGTTTGGCCTCACACTCCTCAGGTACCCAAGAAGACCTTAGTGGTGAGATATTACGTCGAGTTCCCCTCACACAGAGCTACAGTACATTTGACATGCGTTTCATTGCTCTTATTTTTAAATCTAATTTCCAGAATTATCGTGAAACATTAATGAGAGTAAAATTTCCTGGCTATGATGAATGACAGTGAAATTGCTCCATCACATAACACTAGGGACTCTGTAGCACTGCTGCAATTATCAACCCACAAAATTAATGATGAAAGTGCTTTAATATCTTCTGAAAGTCTAATGCAGAGCTGAGCACTTACAAAAGCTGTGGCTAGAAAAGTACGGTAGCTGTGGTACAGAATGTACAGTGGCTGTAGCTCAAAATGTAGTCATGGCTAAGTTGGTATATATGGTAGTTGTGGCTAAGAATGATAGATGTGGCAAGGATTGTTTGGTAGTTGTGGCTAAGAATAAAAACTGTGGCAAGGATTGTTTGGTCTTTGTGGCTAAGAATGATAGCTGTGGCAAGGTTTGTTTGGTAGTTGTGGCTAAGAATAAAAACTGTGGCAAGGATTGTTTGGTCTTTGTGGCTAAGAATGATAGCTGTGGCGAGGATAGTTTGGTAGTTGGGGCTAAGAATGATAGATGTGGCGAGGATTGTTTGGTTGTTGTGGCTAAGAAAAATAGCTGTGGCGAGAATAGTTTGGTAGTTGTGGCTAAGAATGATAGGTGTGGCAAGGATTGTTTGGTAGTTGTGACCTAGAATGATAGCTGTGGTGAGGATAGTTTGGTAGTTATGGCTAAGAATGATAGATGGGATGAGGATTGTATGGTAGGTGTGGCTCAGAATGTATGATAACTGTGATTGTTTGAAACCTGTGGGTTTAGAATTTGCTTTAGCTACGGCGGCGGCGAGGAGTGTAAGTTTCTTCTGTGATAGATTAGCTTCAAGGTAATCACCAAGTTTATATATAATTATACGATAACAAGCAATAATCCATGCTGTGTCAACTTCTGCCTTAATATTGATATATGGGCGTGTAGTTGTGGCTAAGAATAAAAACTGTGGTAAGGATTGTTTGGTCGTTGTGGCTAAGAATGATAGCTGTGGCGAGGATAGTTTGGTAGTTCTGGCTAAGAATGATAGCTGTGGCGAGGATAGTTTGGTAGTTCTGGCTAAGAATGATAGCTGTGGCGAGGATAGTTTGGTAGTTCTGGCTAAGAATGATAGCTGTGGCGAGGATAGTTTGGTAGTTGGGGCTAAGAATGATAGATGTGGCGAGGATTGTTTTGCAGTTGTGACCTAGAATGATAGCTGTGGTGAGGATTGTTTGGCAGTTGTGGCTAAGAATGATAGCTGTGGCGAGGATAGTTTGGTAGTTCTGGCTAAGAATGATAGCTGTGGCGAGGATAGTTTGGTAGTTGGGGCTAAGAATGATAGATGTGGCGAGGATTGTTTGGTTGTTGTGGCTAAGAATGATAGATGTGGCGAGGATTGTTTGGGAGTTGTGGCTAAGAATGATAGATGTGGCAAGGATTGTTTGGTAGTTGTGGCTAAGAATAATAGCTGTGGCGAGGATTGTTTGGTACTTGTGGCTAAGAATGATAGATGTGGCGAGGATTGTTTGGTTGTTGTGGCTAAGAAAAATAGCTGTGGCGAGAATAGTTTGGTAGTTGTGGCTAAGAATGATAGCTGTGGCGAGGATAGTTTGGTAGTTGGGGCTAAGAATGATAGATGTGGCGAGGATTGTTTGGTTGTTGTGGCTAAGAATGATAGATGTGGCGAGGGTTGTTTGGTAGTTGTGACCTAGAATGATAGCTGTGGTGAGGATAGTTTGGTAGTTATGGCTAAGAATGATAGATGGGATGAGGATTGTATGGTAGGTGTGGCTCAGAATGTATGATAACTGTGATTGTTTGAAACCTGTGGGTTTAGAATTTGCTTTAGCTACGGCGGCGGCGAGGAGTGTAAGTTTCTTCTGTGATAGATTAGCTTCAAGGTAATCACCAAGTTTATATATAATTATACGATAACAAGCAATAATCCATGCTGTGTCAACTTCTGCCTTAATATTGATATATGGGGGTGCTAAGTACAAGAACCTTGGTGCAGTGCGTTGCACCATTTTTTCATCCACAAAGAGTATACAGAAATCCGTTTTCCTAAGACAGGTACCCTTTTTACACTAGCTCTTTTGATGCAGAGCATTTCTGCCTGAATTGATCTCTCTAGTATTTCTCTTTTATACCTTCACAAGTTTTACTTTAATACTTTACCGAATGTTTTTATAAAACTAAATCAGTTTCATTTGTATCGCACAGGAAGTTTTACTTGTAAAATTTCTCTCTTTGCGAGTTAACGCCCAAATATCTATTTTAACAAATGCAGTCATTTTACATTTTATAACCCCATGCTTTCAAAACTTCCTCATTGAATTTTACATTTCACATTTGTACATTTACAAAAACCCAGCCCAGACGAATCACTTCTTTCAGGTAACAGTGAATAAAACTGTGACTTTTGTCTCCGGTACCATCACTACACACAAGAACAGCCACGTATCTTTATGTCTGGTGATCAACGCCACACAACATACGTCCCATCTTAAATATTACATAACTTACACCTAAATTGTACTACTCACAATCACACCAGGACCAACCTCCGAGCTGTTAGCCCTTATCACAAGTTCTCTGGCTTACTGAGCACGGCACACATCTGGCCGGAAATTGCCATTAATATTACTCTTTTGCATTCCTCCATCAATTGTATTATTTCTGGTCCAGAACAATGATCAATTGATGCCATGGTATCGACACTATTTCACCACAGGAGGAGGGTTCAATCAAACATCTGTCCCAGTGTCGTAACTGTCACCACAATAACACAACGTACTTTACGATAGCCATCCTGGTTATCCGCCATATTTCAACAACTATGACCATCAATAATACTTAAGATTATTCTTAAATCTCTGCTACATTTCAATTTAGTATTGGGAAATAATTGCGAAGGATTTTTTTAAAAAATCTAC